GGATTTTCTTAATTCGCCCCTCCTACCGGATGTGTGGCACTTGGTCCAAAGAAAGCGGTACACGAGTGTGCGATCTTATTTTCTTTTGCTCATACACTACGTCAACTATCACTGCGCCCATGTTGTTTTGTACGCCCGCACACAATTCTCATTTAACGCTAGCAATATGCAACAACGCATTTAACTCGGTAGACGCTTAAACACACAAATCACATTTTCTGACTACAGTTTTCTCCCCAAAGATCCTATTAGGCTCGTCAACCATCTAAGTTGTTTATCCCTGATAAATCTTTGTACATTGTTCAGTGTACCCTAATACTCAGCGTGTACCTAGCAAACTTTCTGAACTGCGACTTAGACAGAAATCAAAGATCTGGTGCATCAATGCTATACCGGAAACATGGTTACGCCCCGACGTAACTGACATCAACATCGCGCTGCTAAGTATCTCCGAAGTCAGGCACGACTATCCCAGCAGAGAGTGAGGACTGCTCTGTGTTTCCACAGTAGCCTCCAATGTGAGCCCCTAGAGGAATCGGTGAAAACGGTTTGGAAATCTCTTTGGTGCTGTATACGCTTGAGATGCGTGAAACTTACTTGGTGGTGGTCGTTTACCGCCATGCATCCTCCACGTTAGAAATGGACTTTAAACTAGCATCCGCACTGTGTACTAACGTTTCACTGCTAGCACTATTCAGTTGGACCGAGGTAGTCGACACTGGTTCAGAAGTTGATGAAGCTCATCACGACTTCTCGCGGGCATTCTACAGACTAGACAATGTCATATTTTTTCTAATAAACAAGAGCTGCGTCATTGGTTATATTCTCCTAGGGTGTATTATAATCTTTCTTCTCCACCGGCGCTTAGCGGCAAGACTGCGTGGATCTCTGTCAAATCCCAACCAATTCGAGCACTGAGTTGCATAGGGACAGGTACTTGGGCCACGGTTGTACTTGACCTATCTCAACGATTCAACAGAACGCATAAGTTCCAACTGTCTTTTTTAGGCCGAAGACATCCAGTGGATCTGGATAGGTTTACGGATGGTCAATCCAGAACCATCTTTGCTTCAATTTGGAAAATATGCTGCTGTACGTACGACACCAGTTAACATACTGCTATAAACTAGGCGACCAGAAGCTTCAAACAACTTCCAGAAAACGGATCTAGGCGTTTTGATTCAGGCCGACCTCGGCTGTTCGGATCAGGTTAAAAGGGCAACAAGAACAACTATTCAAAACATTGTCCTTACATAGCTGCATTTAGATGCTTTAGTCCGCCTATTTTCAAAGAGTTTCTCGGTTCATACATAAAGACAAACGTTGAGTAAGCAATACAAGTGTGGCAGCCATGGCTGAGGAGAGCTCGCACTGCTTTAGAGATATCTCAACGCCAGAAAACCAACAGCATCAAAAGTACGTAACTTTTTCCCTATGAACGAAGGCAGAGAATACTTGGAGTCTTCAGTGGACGATACCGGCGATTGCGTAGTGAGCTTATTATAACTTTGAGGGACCTCAACCACGCGTACAACCATCTGCTGAAGCTTAGTCACAACAGTAGTCTGAGAGGCCAGCATCCCAAGCTGGCCGAGCAGTACAGTCGCTTGGAATGTCATCGGAATTTCTTTTTCGTATATGTTTTCCAATAGTGGAACACTCTACTGGAGTCTGTCATCTGTGCTCCCATGCTGGTGAAGTTCAAGACCCGAGTTGATTGTGCAATCATTTCACCATATCATATTATGTGACTGAATGCCCATGGCCAAACACCAGTGTCTGCAATAGATATCCCTGCTAGTCAGCTCTCAGAATACGTTCTATTTTTTAACTCCCGCACATTTTTACCAGTAGGTGACAAAATAATACCAATGTCGTGTTTGTCGTTATTCCTAAGGGAATTACAGCGATTTTTACTGTGTATATCACGGTGGCTCCTTCGGTGTGAAATGGCCTCTGCTAGCACTCTTTCCTTATGTAACATTATGCACCATAATCACCCTGAGGGACCCGTTAATCTACCCGCTGATCTACCCACATAAAACCAATAGTTCCACTGTTAAACTAAGCAATATGCATGCTGATTCACTTGATCTGACAAAGTTTAAATCAAAAGCGAAAAGTTGTCAAACAAAATGCAGTCTACTTCTTCCAAACATCTATAAATGCCATTGACTTGCACGTTGCTATCTTGCAGAGGACTGGGTAGCGCTCTCACCAGTGGCAATATATCATGTCCATTAACATAGTCACGATGGGGGTTATCGTCCTACGTGGCTCAGTGGTCTCAACCACGGACTGGTAACAGTCGAGTTGCGGGTTTCAGCCATACAAGGGTCAGATGGAATGTGCACTGCTGACGATTCCCAAAAGGATGAAACGCATGTATACTTTTTTCGGAAGTGTGATGGATGTCTGAGTGAGTCTAGATGTGACGAAAGTATGCCTATACCATTCAACACCCCCTACTGTTCCTTCGTAATCAGTACGCAAACCAAACGGCTGATAATGCCATAAGTTAATTGGTGGCTTAAGTTTGGTAAGTTAGTCGCTTGGTGAGGAGGCTACTCTGTCCACTGCACGGCAGTAACGTGGAAGTCAGTGGATTGTGGGCGGCACGATATCACATATAGTAACTTATTCAGGATAGCCCTTACCGTCCCCCGTAGCTCAGTGGTCTCAACCATGGGTTGACCATAGTCGCGTCGCGGGTTCGAGCCCTACAAGGGCCAGATGGAATGTGCACTGCTCAGGATCACCGAAGGGATGAAACCGCCAAACAGTTCATTTCTGGGCTTTAGTGGCTAGTTGATCGAGATTAGATGTACTGAATTTCTAACTACACACTATAAATTCCTTAAATCTATCGGTTCCAAGTAAATTCTACATTAATAAAATTTTTCCCACCCTGTCTAGAAGAGAGACAAGCTCTCCCTACATGGAAACACTGGATATACACTCCGTTCTACTAGACTGATGATAACCAGCAAAGACCACCTTTGTAGTTTTCCCTTTAGTGCTTTCCGAAGTCAAGGCATCTTTCATCACCCAGACACTTTTGCATACCCGGAGCCATGCAAAATGACTGTGTAGCAACAGGACGAATTGAACGACTTGGAGTCATGTTCTACGAACCTACCGACAGTCATTGCATGGTGAGCGTAGTCTGTAGATGCTAAGGTAGGAATTAATATGTCACAATGAATTTCTCAATGGTATTTAATCATCCGGATTGTCGCAGTCCAATGCGTAAACTACGAAGTTACCAGATTTGCAATTTCCGTCTTTAAAGTTATCTGAACGTGAAGGGTTTGTTGCCTAAGCTGATCTAACTGGAGATCATTGTAGCGTACTTCATTGCTCGACACTCGGTTCATACCTAGTCCTGATCTACGCAAATATTTCCTCAAGGACATTCCTACCAACTTTTCTCTTCTTCGTCTGCAATTTAAAGTTATTGCCAATGTGGACACATTGGATAATCATTTAGCGGTGTAAACTAACCTCGGCATGGATTATAACATTTTGGCAATGTCAGATGCAACGCTTGAGTTTACACTATCAGAGTGACCACAAACGCAGGCTGAGCGCACAGCTTCTCATTGTGATCAGGTCATAGAGATCATATAGCATGATGTTAGCTGTTCGATAAATGCTGAAACAGTATCGAAAAGCTACTTGGCTCTTTACACCGTTACAAGAGGCGCTTGGGCATTTAGAATCTTACATTTCTTACTAAATGGTTGATGCATACGTAAGGTAGCACGTGGGATATGCTAAGCAAGCATGATATCACTGGTATCAGTACAAGCTTCCTGCACACGGGGCTGCACAACGAAGAACAACATGGAGTGTTAAGGGCTTGTGACATCTGCCATACCACTTGAAGCTGAAAACACCGATGGTGTGCAGGGCAGAGTATCTGACTTCACGGGACTATCCTATATCGATGTAACAAATAAAAAGTAGTTCAGCCACATTTAACGCCATCTCTTGAAACTCAACCAAAACACACACCACAATTTGAGACCGGATGAAGAGATGATGTAATATTTTCTTCATCCCAATATCCCAATCCATTTGTGCTCTTCTAAGTCGTTATCTCTGCCCGCCACCTAATAGCTTTACAAAAATTTTTTTATGATATATGCCGATGTGATACACTACATAGTCAGCGTCCATCGAGGGCAGATGTAAGAAGAGACAAAAGGTGTTCATAAAGCTTCCCGTAATATCGATGCGCGTCGACTTATATCCGTATTGCCGCGAAGCCCTCGTTGGGCTCAATAGTAACAGGGGCTCTACTCAATCGGCCCATATTTTCCTTATTGTAGTTCTTTACCTAACCATCTGCTATGAGTTGTTGGACATTTGCACTTTGAAAAACCTTGTGAAACCCTTACCTTGCTTACATTGTGATGTCACCCTACCTAGCTTACGAAATAAGCGTTTTGAATTCCAGCCAGTTTTGCCTTCCTTCCTGTTGTCGAAGTCCAGCATCTCAGCCATTATAGTGGCTGCTTCTGAATCTGCATAAGATACGAGCAATTGGTAGCTGTACCGGCAACACATCACACAATGTACTCCAATTTGGGGGCTTACAAGAGTAGTAGATACACATTACTTGGATTCACCCCAATTCTAATCTAGCTTCATCCTCATGAAAAACAAGTTATTGACATAAGTATATTTGCTTTACTTTCGTGGCCCAGGTCCATGCGGTTGCTACGCACCCGCACTCAACCAGAAATGTCTCAATACATGGTATTGATATATGCATTACTTGTAAGACAACTGCGCAATGTATTCCATTTAACATAGTAAGTCACACCATGGCCTGTGAAACCTGCTAGTATCACCCATAATTCAGTAAGATGTTCTGTTCAGATATGTACCGCATTCTGAAAAAGAACAGCGATGTGTTTTGTTACGCCACATGGGGTATGAGGCTGAGCGAGTTAAATGACATTAGTTGGCTTACGAAAGCGGATGCAGTGCCGTCAAATACAGGTTAGTGATAATCCGGCTGGTTGAAAAGGCTCGATAAGTCGTAAAATAAGCAGCAGTAATTCGTCCAGGAAACTTCGATAAGGTGTCTAACAAACAGTTGGAAAGAAACCATTATTGAAGCTTTTACCCATTTGCAGAAAGCGAACTTACCATGAGCAAACCGAAGGTTATACCAATTCCACAGATGAGGGAAAGGTTGGCATTGCAAGTTTCAACCATTGCTTCATAGCAACCCTAAAAAGATGGAGAGTGTACTAGAGGCAACACATTCGAGCCAGAAAGCGAGGCAAATTTAACCGGCAGCAAAAGGAAGATCTGCCCAAATACAACCGGTTCCATACTATTTCGTCCGCTTATGAAAATAGGTCTTCCCATAGGAGGGAAAAGAGCACCAACCGTCAAACGGTGGCATTAATTCAATCAACTAATAACAGCAAGCAACTTGCAATTTCGTTAAGAAATCGCAAAATCTAAAACTTCAAAATTACGACACATTGCACCACTTTATGCACTGGTTGCTTAAGTTTCATTGCATATGTCGCTGGTACATGTTATTGATTAGATACTTAAACATCATATGTGAGCTCTGTGAATCGCATGCAACGACAGAGCTCGGATGCAAATAAAGATCAGCATTGTTCGTCCCAACTCAACTGCAACAGCCTGAATAACACCAGTAGCAAACTGATTGTGAACTGCAGATGTTGGTGAATACTGTAGAGTCACTGCCACAGCCACAGCCATGAGTCATGGTATTGATTCCCTTTTACTTTAGTTCGTTTAGGGTTCCACTAATAGAATGTATGCGACTGAATGAGAATACGTGAAGTACACTCAACTCAGGATGTCCTGCCAGCTGAAATGTTTTTTCATCTTGTAATTTTAAAAAAACTGGTGAAACGTCAGCAGTACTTCACTGCCACGCCATATTTGAATTCAGTGTCAAATACACTTGCTGCGTTGGAAAAACATAAAGGGTCAGAGCACTAGCCTACATTGCCAATAGAATATCCCGAGTGTGTGGTGGGTTTAGCCTGTTGGCACATTATCCATCAGCTGTGGCGAACTCATTACTGTATTCGAAGTCCGACAGATCGACCGATTCGATTAAACGTTGTCTCAGAAATAAAATGCTCTAGTGACTATGAAATGATGCAATATTTGTTAGTTAGTTATGCATCCCTGGATGCGCAGTGTCGCACAGCAACGTTCCATGCTTCCTCCGATACGCGTGTGCCAACTCATTTCCGGTCTTATTTTCATGCCTCAAAAGACGCTCAGTTTGCTTCACTGAGCTATAGGCGATTTATGTTTACTAATGTGTAAGCTGATTAGTAAATCAGCCACAGGAGCTCCCAAGCCAGATAGTCAAACTTCCAATCCGGAAAGCACCAGACGTCGGTTCATTCTATCGAGGATAGTCGGTACTATGCATTCTGTCGTTCCCCTGCAGGAAGGAAACCGAACCCATTGTCTCTAGCACTTTGTGCCAGCTAGCCGAAGTTCGTAGTCTTTTGAGCGAATACGTACGGTAATAAGTTACGATGTGAATAATTCATTAGAACCAAGAAAGATAATCACAACTGTTTAGCTGGGACAGTAAAGTATCCGTCTATGTTATTCGGTTTCACGTTTATTATAATGAGCAAGTCAGTTGGATAAGGTTGATGTTTCACTTACTCGAATTTTTGAATGCAGTGCAACAGCGGATCCACAACTTTTGGGGACAGGTTTACGGCCGTAATCCGCAGCGGAATTAGCTCCGCAGCAGCTAAGCTGGACAAAAATGTAAAACAAATTTTTCGTACAGTAGGTGGTATAATACCTGACTATGCATGTAGAAAACTAAACAAAATAAGCGAAATTTTATTATTAAAGTGCGCTTCATGTTGTTCTGCTACTCAGTGTTATCCATCCAGGAAAATGTTGAGGTTGAGGCATTCCACACCGTAGTATTATATTTTGAGCAAATCTCGTTGGTATTCAAGTCGCAGCATGCAGATTTAAATTTGATTAAATCATATAAGTAATCAAAACACAGGTGTTTTCCTGGTGGTGCCCAGGGTCAATAACACAAAATGAAAATTACTGAGCAAATGACGATCAACCATTCGACCGCGGACTGAATTCCTTTTAGGGCAACCTGATGATCAGATTCACCAAATTATGAGGACGTTTGTTGACAAGACAGCATACTCACAGCAATTTGACTTTATTCCTCGAATCGCAAGAGCCTGTATAAATTAAAAACTTCAAGAAGTGACTTATAGATTGGTTAGTATGAGCGAATCGCGAAGGTTCTTGCACGCAGGGAAGTCGAGTGCACAGCGGGTAGTGCGATTTTGACACCAACGAATTGCAAACTTGTTTGTGCTTTGAAGCGCTGATTAGACAGGTGATGTGGCAATGAATGGAATGAAGAAGAGGTGCAAGCGATTAATCGGCCGCATTTCACACCACCCAAGTAGGACCAAGCGATTGGACTGTAAGACATATACATAACTAAAAAATGATTACAACATCTTAATTAGCACAATAGTTCTAAGGCCAACCGCGGTTTTCGGTTGAAGCAAGGTACTTAATGAAAGCCCTAGAAGGACTGCATCGTTTTGATGGATTGTTCGCCCAGTGTGTTTAAGAAATTTTTTGAGCACTGAAAACCCTGATGGCTAACGAAAGCTGCGTTGAACTATGCGTCATATCATCTATCGAATGATATCATTATCTCTTCGCTATCGTTGAGTGAAGGGCGACACAACTCACCTTCTGTTGAATGAAGTCCAGAAGCTGCGTGCTTTCGTTCGTCTTGTCCCCCTCGTCGTAGCCGACGATGAGCTTCTCCAGACAGCGGTACATATAATCTCCAACCTGTATGAAAAAATGAACACGTACCAGGCAGTAGTAAAAATTGGAAGCATTGTAACTGTGTTCCATAGAAATGTAGAAGCAAGTCATATCCATTAGCCTGTACGATTACCTGTGGAGTTAAACGTGTACAGTACACACACCGATTGAACCTGGTCATTATATACTAGGGTATGTGGACACTCCCATGCTGAGGTTGATGTTGCATTCATGATGCTTCTTCACCGCAGTTGGGCTAAACCAACTTACACTTAAACTAGGTCTTTTTAATGTGGATAAAATTCATTACATTTTATTTTTTTGTTCTGCGTACTTGATAATCTTCTCCCAACTTACACACGTCGCTCATGCAAATTGTGGTAAACTTGCGTAATTTTATCGCGTGGTATTTTTAAAATAACTTTCGGACATTTTGTACTTATCGCGTATTCACATTTAACCAATTTCTTCCATATGCTCATTTAGCGAGTATTTATGTCGTCATATGCGTTTACTTTATTCGATATCGGCATTTCGAATGATTGGCTGTTGTTTGACATCCCAGGTGTGGCTGCGCTTGATGTGCATGTTGACAAGGTGCCTACCTGTCTATTACCCACTACCTCGTCCATCTGGCTCCAGGAGACAGTTGGTCGTTGCTGGAGGGGACGGGGTGCACGGTCCTTGTGGTCATGCTAGGCTCGAAGAGTGGTTCCATGCACTCAGTGTGGAGCGGACTACGGTCCAGCCACCGCCTTGTGTGCGCTTGATTCCCCAAATACAGCGTGCTTGTGTTTGCCTGTGAAGGAGTGTTGGCCGGCTCCGTTGATGAAACGTGGCTCCCATCCGCATGCCTCCCGGTCTTATTCCTTCGGGTTTACACTGGATATGGGTGTGTGCATGGAGCTGTGGGTGGTGCAGCGCAAGCCATCCATGGTCCCTCTGTAGGCGCAGGCGTCCTGTGGCTGGCCACAGTGACAGGCAAATCCGAAACCGGATGCCGCCAACCATGTGGACACTCCCAAGCCGTTTGGCGATTGCATCAACTAACTATAACATGATTTTCGCCCCCTACTGACACGCAAATTCCTTCCCCAAAGTGGACATCCACCTGCTGCAATTCTGACTCTTGCAAATACAGGGCTTGAACTAGTGTCCAGTTTCATCTCCCTGAAGGGCTGCATTATTGCTAACTTCCTTAATGAAACAGTAATTTCTCTTTTTTTGCTGAAGCCAACTTGCGTTCGCCAGCCTGAGCGGTTTGTGACAAAGAACAGCGAAGAGCAGTGTCTGCAATCTGCGTGTTTGCTTGGCGCCGCTGTACGAAAGTGAGTCTTGCCCGATTGCTGTGAATGACATGCGTCCAATTCCAATCTCTGCCAGCGGGTATTTGGGAATGATAGCTCATGTGTGGTTGGAACAACATTTTTCCAACGACGATGATAGACGACGCGTTTTGGAAAATACTGGCATTCTTAGCGACAAGCTAGTAGCGCTGCGTTAATCATGATGACTAGGTTTTGTTCTACGCAGGTCGCGTTAGCGACTAGTTTGACGCGCCTTATTCGCCCCAAATGACTGCAATGGATGAAATCGCCTGGTGGACAGTCTACCACATTGTGACAAAATGTCAAAACGCTCACCACTAATTTTGATAACCACAATCCCAGAGGCTTTACGGCTTCTGCACCCAAGAGTGAGGAACTCAACTGGCCGGAAAGCCCCTGGGGTCGTGGCTCATGATCTGCCTCTGAAGGCTAACATAAGGAATTTACGCTTTGGCTTCATTACGCAACAATGAAATCACCGAAAGGACAAACAAAACGAAGCAGTTTGAAAAGCTTAAAACAACTTTACTTTACTTTCCTCCTAGGGATTTTGCAATTATTGCGTGCATTCATTCCATGGCTTTTGATGATTCAATATCAATGTTTTGTTCTGGTGCTATTAAGTAGCTGGTGGCATCCAATTCCGGATTTTTCCGTCGCTCCGGTCTCCATGGGGCAGCCATAGGACGTCTCCGCCTACAGAGACACCATGGATGGCTCATGCTGCACCACCCACACCTCTATCCACGCACACTATTTCCAGCGTAAGCGAGAAGGAATAAGTCCCAGATGAATGTGAATGTGAGCCAGGTTTCATGAGAAAAGCTGGACCGAACTTCTTCAGCATGCACAACAGCATTCCTGTCTACTTGGGAAATCATGCGTACCAGTAGTACACAAGACGTTGGTTAGGCCTTGGTCTGCTGCACGCAGGAAGGAACCACTCTTTGAGTCTAGCATGGTCACGACTAACTGTCCCCTAGAGCCAATATAATCGAGGCATCACTTTTTCGGCAAGCACCTTGTCAAGCTTCACATCAAGCGTAGCCACACGGGAGAAGTCAGTCAAAACCCAATACCGGAAATGCAAGACGATCAACTCATCCACCTAAAGACCAACTGCAGTGATGATGCAACTTATGTGCCCCATCGACCGCAATATTAGCCTGCGTTGGTAAATGGAAACGAACCGGAAGCAGCTACTTATGAATGCAATTAAAGTCGGACAATTTGTCACGTTAAACAGAATGGTGTTCGAATCACTAGGGGCGCTTTTCAATTCCAACTAGATGGGGTTGCTTTTTAATGCAGAGCATTAGTAATTTATTAAAAAAGAAATATCGTTAAAGAGAGCAAGTTGATGAAAGGCTGTCCGACTGCTGTCCTTATCAAGTTTGCCGTCATACTGAGAACACAATTTTTGCAGTTCTACTGCTTTCGTGAATAACCACTATTAGCTCCTTTTTATAACATATAGAAATAAGGCGAATGAAACTTCAGGCCAAGATCCTTCTTAGATCGTCTAGCATGTGGATTCTAACGTTGTTCAAGAACAACCATCCGCATCTCCTCTCCAATCCGCAACGTGAGCGCGCAACACACTGACAAACTCGGATGACTTGGCGCCATTTCAAATCCCTTCGCTTATAACCTGTGAGTGATGCGTGCCCCGGTTATTCTCTCCCACAGTTGGTGTCACTGCACTGCCTCGAACTGAGGGCAAGAGGACGTTCACGCGCTTCACTTTTCTTGAGCCAGACTTCTATCGTCGTAGCTGAAGTCCTAGCCCACTCTTTTCCATGAAATCACATGTCTCATTCTCTGATGGTGCTTGTAGCGAGTAGTCGAGAACAAAGGCAGTGTTGATGAAGGGGATCTGGTAGTGGCAGTTTTTGGGCATCCTACCACGTGAAGTTCCTGTTGGCTTAGTTCTGTGCGCTAAACCCGGAAGGAAACGTGTGGTCGAAATGTAAAGCTTTGGTGAGGCGTCTGCTGACCAACGCGATGCATATCCAGTGAGCTAAGAGTGGTTATTCGAGAAAGCAGCTTAGTGGTAAAGCAGTAGGACTGCACAAAACATGGTCTCGGTGACGGTGAAATTGACAGTGACAGCAGTCGGACAGTCATTACCAGTTGACATTGTTAGGCACTGGGTACTCCAGTACAAAGGTCAGGTTGAGCCCATTAAAACCGGGAAAATGGCTTTGAGATGCATCCTACCAGTACCCTAATGCTTTTATAGAACATGCTGCCTTACATTTTTACTAGTGCAAGACAAGGGTGTCCAGTCACTTTAGCAGGAAGTCATTGAAAATTCCTTTATGGCGTAAGTTTAGCCCTAAGTTTGTGAAATCAACCCCGTAAACTGCATTCTCCTGTGCTGTTAGGTATTCATCTAGATTGCCGTCAAATTCCATGGTTAACCCGTCTAATTCTGTTGGGCCGTCACTGAACACCAAAGACAGAGCGATGTTTTAGCACGTCATTATTGTTGGTTGCGGCGTTTGGGACTGCGGGATTAGACTTGGTTCGTTTAGCTTGCCCACTCGTGAGTTACGCCTGTGTATTCTCCGTGGAATGGCGATTTTATTGCACTGCTTCCACTGCGTTACTGCCGTCTACGATCCAATTTGCTTAACTCCCAGTTCATCAGTGAAACCAAAAGCGAAGACTCGGTAGACGGTGTGACCTCTTTGAAAATGGACGCTTCTATATATACGTCAACCATACATTCCAGTTATGGAAACCGTGACCCTTCAAATTCGGCGTCCTGACAAGCAATGTGCAAGCATTTCGCTTGACTGGGTTACTTCGATTTAGCATGTTTGTCCGTTTGTTCACGTCAAGACAAGGAGCCCGCTCTTTTAATTGACGCTCACCCGAATTCGCCAATTATTCATATAGCACCCATATTCCATATTTGGTCGCCTGATCGCGCGCCCAGTGTAACTCTCCTTCAAGTTATGTCGTAGCTCCATTCGTGGTTATTCGCTCCGATTAGTCGCCTAATAGATGCGCGATTCTGTAAGATGGTGCTTGTGGAATGACATCTTCCCAAACTGTGCTGAATCGATGCATCGCTTGTATGCCCATTGAAGCAATTTACCATGCCATTTGCAGCTGGATTAGATGAAGTATTAGTACCGCAGTATTGGATGGCAATACTTAAGTAGTGTGTGATGGGATAAAAAGCATTGCTTTGTATGACCCCCAGCAGGGAGAATAAAAAGAATCAAAATATTTCAACGTGCAATGTGGATTGTCAGTAGTTTAGACATCGAACTTGATCACAAGATTGTCTATCCTTTATCACTAAGATGAAAGCCTAATTGTTTTTCGAATGTCGCGATGTTTGATGTGCTTACCACATGTGGGGGCAACAGATTCTAAGAGAGTGAAAATACGTTCCACAATCCCAATGGGAGTGTTGCGTCACTAGTTTCAGGTGGTAGCCTCGGTATTGTTTGTAAGCGGCTAGAGTCAGCAGTGATGTACATGCGTGCCCTCACGCAGGTTATATCCGGTATGTGAGTGAGATCTCCGTGAAGCCCTAAGTATTCTGAGGGGAGCACATAAAGTAACTGAAGGCGCATTTCGTAACTGAGACCGGATAGTTTAATTGTTGCATTGTTGGCTCCCTTTTGAGGTTGCTTAAAGAGACGAATATCTCGTTTTAACTGTGGACGCCAGGCCTGAACCGCATATTCAACGTGGCCACGAATATACACGTTACTCAGCAGCGGTACTGGCCGTCACTCGAGGGTGCGGATAGCTCGCCTCAAACGCCTCAGGTTCAAGTTCGCCACATCAGCTGCTTTCTAACATTGGAGCGAATGCAAAGACTTTCTTGAACAATTATACTTAATTTTCGTTTATTAGTCACGCGCTGCATAACGTGCTGTCCCAGAAGATGTGTTGATGAAGCGGCTACGCGCATCAGCAGGAGGCAATTTGCAGGGTTCAGTGGGAGGTGGTTCCTTTCTGTGCATTCGTTAATCCGGTCTAGATATTGAGCGAATTGCTTTCCATATTTCGGCACCATTTGCAAATATTTGCATCGGGGATTGAATGTTTGCTTGTAGGTCATTGGTCCAGAATAGAAATATTAGCGGGCCGAGGACTGACTCTTGTGGTGCACAGCTGGAGACGCACTGGCTTTCGGAGAGAGTGTCGGCGAACCTCACATTGATTGTTTTATTGTGTATGTAACCTTCCAAACAAGTGGGTACGAAGCCATTGATACCCTAGGCTGAATGCTTTTGGTGGAACGAAGTGACTGACCCGGTCCAATGTCGTAAAATGTCTAAGTACATTTATAAAAGTGTATGAAACTTATGGCTTGTAAACTGTGGACCGTTATCCAGCATTATCTATCCTCATAATCCGGAATGTGTAACATTCATTTCAACCGTCTGATAATACTGACATTAGTAACTTCTCCGCACAAATGAACTTCAGGCTGGCTAGCCGAACAGCCTCCACATGGTGCCAACTAGGTAGTTCGGGTCAATCCCCGTCCAGATAATAGTTCGGCAGCAGTATTCCAGGATGTGGTGAGTTTTCGCCTGACAAGCGTTCTCCCTGTAAAAATCACAAATGTCTGCTTAACAACACTGTGACGTGGTGGATATGACTCATCAGCAAATAAACTCACTGCCTTACCATACTGGAGGATCTTAAGCATTTCGCAAATGTCAACCACTTCAAAGCATTCATCTGATCCCTTCCTATATTGGCGACTTCTCCGAACAAACTTACAAGTTCCCAGCAATAGTAACAAATTTACTTAACACTAGGATTTACACATGTGCCCAGATACATACTACACATAAATACACACATATATCCAGTATGTTCTGGTTAACTTGTAACATTTCTCTACCATTACGGATGTTACGCGTTTGTGTTACTATGCTCGTGCATTTGAAGGCGTGTCTCGCACGGTCGAGAATAAGTAATTTATTTATTTAGTTCTAAAACCACATCTCAACTAAATGGTTATCTTGATTCTGTGGCGCTGAGCTGAACAATCCCAACCACATAAGACATTCGATAGACAGTATAAAACTAAAACCGGCCTTGAGTTCTTAGCTACTTTTAGCATTAAGTGCACCCAGCAACCAATTTTCGGACTTCATGTGCCATTCTGGATCACCAGTAACATAAGTTCACCTTACTTTTCTTACGGACAATTGTAGGGTGGCCTTCGTGGGCACACAGTGTGAAACTTGCCACGAAGCTCCGAGGATCCACAAATATGCAGCCGCACGGGAATACTCCATTCATGAATGACAGTTCATGACACAATACGTAGTACGAAGGAAGCTCCCCTGATAGTTTGTTATTCTGTGGCTAATCGTTTATCGGAGTTTTTGAACGCTGTAGTTTGTAGCATCATCTTTCGTCCCCTAAGTGATTTCTTTCTTAGTCAAAGCTGAGACGCCATCGCCTTCCAAGGAAGACACCAGTAACCGCACTTTGGCATCCTCTTTATTTTTCTTTTCGTCTTGCGGAATCCGAGGGCGATCATTTTCTGCCTGCTCTTCACTCCATGGACGAAATTTGCTCTGGAAATTGTATGTTATCAACCATGCTTATCAGCGGTCTGATGCCACTAAATTACTTGAAGCTGCATGGTCTGTACGAGGGGAGTAGATTCCAATTCAGACAAGCCCAAACGAAAGCGACAGACTTCTTTACACCGGCAGATTAATAAAGCTTAACTGTAGACAATTTGCCAGAGGCGTAAGCAATAACTATTTCACTTCAGTTCTGGATTTGGTCTAGTACAGAGTCAAACGCAACGTCTGAAACGTCGGTGGAGACAGTCGTTAGAAACACACCTTCAGTTAGGTTCTACATGTTACACCCGTTATACCTCTGTATGAATTCGGTGCGTCTTCTAACCATCGCAAGAAATACCAGACGTCTACACACCAGTGGGTCTACAATTAGGTATTCAGCGACGCTGCTGAAGACGATGGATATCAGATCGACATGCTTGCGGAGGATTGTCGCTTAGTATGACGATCCGGTTCGCTCTCAGTGTTCTGTTTATGGAGAAGTACAGGCTGTGTGTCACAAACATGTATCAATTTCATGATTGGCCACCTGGCTACACAATTCGCGTCCTCATGTATTCTGCTGAGTTTCATTGTCCGGGTGTATGTGAACTGCGCATCTTTGACGCACGCATCTGTAGGCACATCAGAGCCGATATTTGCGGTCCACAGATCAATCAGGGAATATACCTTTGCACTGGTTTAGCCCATAGCCAGCAGAAAGCTGTGAAATATTCTTTGTACATACCAAAGGATCAAGCTGAGTTCGTTTACTTGAGTTGCACACCACTGAAAAGTACTACACCTTTTCTCAATTCGTTGCATCGTTCTCCCAATTATCTGCATCGTTCTCCCAAGTATCTGCATCGGTGACGCTTGGAGCTCCCTCGCGTACGTCACGAGACACGTTGCACATGTGCACTCGTATCAGCCATAGTCATGGAATTTCCCTTCACGAATTTCAATAAAGCAAGAAGAAACAACATTATAACAGAATTTACTGAATTCAGTTATTTCGCGTATTCTCTTCAGCTGTTTACATACAATGAGTGGAAAACAGTGCGATGTTAACAGCAAAAATTCAAAGCGGTCGAAGGTCTTTAGGCTCACGTGACCTGTTCCGAGGAAAACGCAATCCCTAGCCTCACCAGGGTAGGGCTAGCGTGGTCACGAAATCCGTTGTGCACGTTCAGCCGCTTCAGCCTAAAGACCTTCGACGGCTTTGAATTTTTGCTGTTAACATCGCACTGTTTTCCACTCATTGTATGTAAACAGCTGAAGAGAATACGCGAAATTACTGAATTCAGTAAATTCTGTTATAATGTTGTTTCTTCTTGCTTTATGGTCATGGAAGGCGTTCGCGATGTGAGATCACGTGATTGCCTTGTCCCCAACAGCATTGGTACGGTGACTAACATGACGGTGAAGTTGAATCCTAGGTGCGCCAATTTCAGTGAAATCGGTGCAGTTAGTGCAACAGCTTGCTCTGCTCCGAATGTCGCAAAAGACGCTCGCGCGCGGCACCTGGCGAGGTGAAGAACATAAGACTTATGAATAGGGTATGCGACTGGAAGCATGCTGCACGCATACTGAACATAAACCTGATTACCTGTCACAGTTGGATGGAAAGGCTGGTGACAAGGCGATCAGGTGATCTGTCTTGGACACACTTCATGAGTATGGCTCATACCAGCGCACACATGCAACGTGTCACATGACGCACGCGATGCACCTTCAAGCGTCACCGATGCGAACACGGGGGAACGATGCAACGAATTGAGAAAGGGTATAGTTGAGATTTTTCGTATACTGACCTCGGACAAACCGTAAAGTACACTGGATTCGGTGAATGGAGAAAAAACAACCTAGCTTGCACTGAACTCCGGGATTCCCTGAGAAAATTTCTCCAGAAAAGACTGTCGGTGGGAAGAACAGTTGTGATAGACCATGTTGTGCTTACCTTGGATGACCACGCTACCGCCCACAATCCAGCTGCCATTAGAAGTGTGAAGCAGAAGAACACACTCAAGAAGAACTGCAACGGATTGAGGAACGAGAAAATGTAATAATGACGATGCATCCGTTTTTCCAGAAAGCAATCAGCTACGGACAATATATATATATATATGCTTGATCCTAGGATATGTTTAATAAGCAAGTGAAATCAGTACGCTTTATTACAAACTAACACACGTATACTTCCATACTACTAACATGACTACAACACTTAGTTACTATGAGCAACATTATTATTATTGACTACGTTATTAGCAGTAACGGATGAGCATGTCGACCAACGCGAAGCTACATCAATAAGCACCGGATGAACTGAATTCAGGAACACTAGGAAAAACAGAACAGTTGTTAATAAGAGCACCATAAAACAATTCACGCCGACGAATTTACACCTGATATGCATTACTTGCGACACCTGATGCGCTGAGTAGTACGTTGAGTGATTAGCCGAAGGTCTCGAAACGCCTCCGGAAGAGACGATGTGGATGCGAACAGAATCAGAGCCGGTGATCTGGAGTTCGATGCTCTTGTGCACAAATATAGCTTTTCCTTGAAGTAAATCGTCTCTGGAATGAAAACTGAACTCACACGTTCGTAGCGAAGTTCTCATGCACTTAGGAAGTGTACTGCGTACTAACCCACATTAAATAAAGCTCAGTGCGACAAACGAACCATTTATGTACACTCAGCTGGCTATGCTGGTTAGGCGGTTTCACCCAGGCAGGTATGCGGAGGGCTTAAAACAAATGAATTGTGAATCGTTGTTTAGCCATGTTAATCGCTTCGCTGCTGTTGCCGGCAAAACAGGCTATAGGCGCGTAACTTACCCCGATAAGTAAGCACTGATTTTCACGTATTGCTCCACAAGAACCAAGGAGACCCATTAGGATGATGAAAAGTCCGACGGCAATGAGAATGTTTGCTCCTGCGTGTAATCGAAAGCGATACGTTCGATTAATAAAATTAGAGATAAAAGCAATTACAGGGGTGCAGCCGAGATGATGAATTTCGACTTATAAAAGCAAGTACACCAACTCTGATAGCATGAATATGGTACTAGTGGCACCTTCCGAAACAAAATAGTTTTGAAAGCTCTTTTGTAAATCTCCACAGCAATTTGTGGAATAAATTTCTTAAGGAGATAGGTGAGATGGCATTCACCAATAATTTCGTATATTACCTCATTCTTTCCTGGCTGTAATGAAAGCAATCGGATTATTGAGAACGCCATAGACGAACGAATCACTCCATGGAATGGGACCCAGATGGGTATAAACGACAGAACAAGTGCTCACCGGAAGACTGTCTTTCAACAAGCAGTAAACAAGGCAATTTGAAGCTTAAAAGTGTCGCAGTGGTTTTCACCTTTGCATACCACCGTTTAATTTAGCCTGGTATGAACACTACCAAATACAAAGGGAGTTAATGGTTTGCTGACACTTACGGTCCTAGAGCAGCAGCAATATTTTATTAGTACTATAACAAGAACTATTCGCCTACCCTCTCAAGCTGACCAGTGCGTACTATTTGGCTAATGGTTATCTTAGTTGCATTCGCTCCAAAATGACAAATATCTTTTTTTATTTCCCGGTAGCAACAGTTAAGGTATACAGCAAGTCTGACTGTTTGGTTTAATCAAATCTCTGCTATTCAAACGCATGCATGAACCTGAAAATTCCGTTTCGAACCACCTTACTAATGGATAATCCTAGCACTTATCTGCCTTCAGCTGTTCCACAGTACAAGTTGATCGGATAAGCACTTGGCCTTTCTAACACTTTAGTGTGATTTGTCGTTCATTTGGAACAATGGAAAATGGTTTTATACGGGTAAAAATGCTGTAGCTTAACAAATCCCACAGCATGATTATAGTGAAAATGCGAAGTATAAGAACGATTTTCGGCAAATTTAGTTTCACACTAGTAAGTCAAGTTATGTTTGATAACACACAGGTGTATCATTTGCGCACCACATATATCCGTATGCACAGATTTCGTGAGGGCTGGTGAGCGCAATGTTTGTTTGCGTCTTGTGAACTGAAATCAGATCAGGTAATGCAGATGTAATGCCTCGCCGTGTCGTTTTGTAATGACGAGTAGCGTGGGCCGAGAAGTGACAAAAGTTGAAAGAGCATCTCAGTGGGTGACAAATTCGAAGCGAAATATAGTTCTGGCGGCATTCCAGCCGACTGTATTGTGTAGCCAGTTTCAGCTGGTGACCCCTCAACTTTGTGTTGCGGCTTACTTTCAGGAGGTGGCGGCAAGTGTGATCGGGGTTTTCAAGATTCGGAACGCCTGAATGAGCCGCAGATGATACGGCAGGTGCAGCATTTCCTTCACACTTTGGTTGCCCTTAGCTGTGCAGTATACAGTGCAACCATTTCGCGCTTTAACCAGAGTTGTCAGGCTTAAATCGCGCACTCTACACGGGGCCTCAAATGCGTATTGAGCATTTGGGAGAAGATAGAGAGGTTGAACCGACCAAACGACTTTTGTAAAAGACCGCCATGTTGGTTAGCGGTTTCGGATGCCTTCAAAAAACAGCCGTGGTCGTCTTGCATCACCACGCAAAGATGGCGCTCCTGTGAGGCGGTTTACCGCATTTGGTCTCCAAGCATATATACATACGTAAGCTTGTGACGTAAATGTACAGTTTCGTACTCGTTCGCGTTAAGCGAAGTAGATTTGCCTTTGACAATTCAAAAGCATTGTTTGTGTCTATTCGTAGCACATCGCGGTCATCCTGACGACTGATCGCCCAACATATCTTGATATCATCTACAAAAAGAAGAAAATTCCAATCGACGGCACGTACGAAGTTCTTGATAAAGACCGGGAATAGGCGCGGCCCTAACACGGATCTTTGCGGGACACCGCAGTCATCAGAAAATAAACCCCTAACCTGAACCTGAAGCCGCCGCTGAAGCAAAAGATGCTGATCCATCCAAGGACCGGGTCACCAATTCTGGATGCTTGCAGCTTTTGGAGAAGGATTCGGTGATCCAGCGGTGGAAGGCTTTGGAAAAGTCAAGGTACATGATAGCGGTGACGGTCACACGATTAGCTATTTCGGTCCAATTGCCACGCGCACTCAGCAGATTGGCAGTACATAACCGTCAATTTGTTGTAGCTCGAAAAAGCAGCAGACCAGAGCAGCACCGGAACGTATGTATGGAGGAAATTGTCCGCACACACGTCCAGTACAATCAAATCGATAGAGGTCCGTATTACAACCAATCAAATGCAAGCTCACATGACAGGCCAGCGAGTGCTAACCAGAAGTGTGAGTAGGATAAGCGAATGGAGGGCAAAAATAAAGCAAAGTTTTGAATACAACGTTATCCCCTACTTCGTTTGTAAAAATATAGGCATTACATGTCCATGAACAATCTAATTTAATGTTAGCACCCCGAAGAATTGTCATATGGTGCTTTCCGTTAAAGCGTATCGGTAGACAGGACGGCGTATCCGATCGGAACGTTGTAAGTTGGTATTATTTTGTACCGAGCGCTGTTTTGTAGGTGTGTTCCTCTGTTTAATAGCGTGTTGGGAAAGCGCTGTATGCAGCCGTCTTGCATTCACCTTTGTTCCAGCAGCCAAATTGTAAGTTCCTGGCGTGCACACAGATTCCACACGAGTCGGCCGTCCGAATACATTACCTACTTTCCGGGAAGTCGGTAGTCTCACACGAACAAATGTCCCTGGAGGATATGTTTTCCCAATGCTTCTATATTTAGTCTGGTAAATAGCCCCTTTCTTATTCTCTGTGATCGGCATTTTCGTCGGATGTAAAAGCTGCAATTAATCGAGTTCGAATTGCTCGCCCCAGCATTAGCTCCGAGGGGGTCCTTGTCGTAGCAGTATGTGGAGTGGTTCTGTATATCTCCAATGCAAATACCAACGCATTATCCGAGAATTCTCACGAAAGCCGAAGGACTTGTAGAGGTTCTTTCAAAGTAAGATTAAGTCGTTCGACGGGTTCATTCTCTGCAGGATAATAAGGTACAGTCCTCGCGTGTCTGATACCATTGCGTTCTAGGAGTTCAACATACTCGTTACTTCGAAACTATGGGCCGTTCTCAGTGACTATTTCTTCTGGTAAGTCGTACCTTGTAGACAAACAACGGAGCCACTTTATGATGACAGCTGTAGTTACGTCCCCGCATAAAATAGCCTCTGGCCATTTGCTGTAGAAACATGTAGCCACTGGCACGTTTCGCTTCTGTGGAGGTGCATTGGCTAACGGGCCCATAATATCGATGGCAATTTTTGCCCATGGCTTCATTGGGAACACGACAGGTTGGACTGGAGCATTCAGGGGCCTCGCATTTTTATCAGATTGTTGGCAGGGTGTAACTTTTCCGAATAACCGCCTCGACGCTGGATTTCAATTTCGGCCACCCACTGTATTGTGGTATCCGAGCTTTTGTTCGCACAATCCCTGGATGACCTTCATGCGCACATGCAACCACCATAGTGATAAGGGTTGCAGGGACCACATATGGCTCGCCTCTAATAATTCAGTTTCTCACAAGTAGAAATCTCGTTCCTTTAGGGCATAGTTTGGAAGTAACTCAGGTTGGATCTTGGTACGACTGGGCCATAAAGTGGATATGTACTCCCGAAGCTTTGCTAAGACAGGGTCTTTGTCGGTGTGTTCCCGTATCGGGTCAAATGTTATTGTAGGTTTTCCGTCTGGAAGCTGTGAAATCATTTTTACTTCCTCTAAGTCCTCGTTTTCCCCCTCGTTGGATAGTGGGAGTCTCGACAATGCATCCGTAAGATGGTCAAAGCACCCTGGTACGTATTTTATTGCATAATCATAGTTCAATTAACGTGAGTACCAGCGACTCAAGTGTACCGGCTTTTGGTCTTTGTTACCGTGACTTAGCAACGTTGTAAGAGCAGAATGATGGGTGAGCAAAGTGAATCGACGTCTGAATATGCGAAAGTGCCATTTCTCATATGCCCAGACGCATGCGAGGGCCTCCTTCTCACCGGTGGAATAAGTTCTTTCAGTATCAGACAAAGTAAGTGATGCGTATGCCATCACTTTCTCCTCGCCATCGCGCAGCTGGGACAGAACTGCACCCAAGCCAACATCTGAAGCATCCGTTAAAACAAACGATGGACAGTGCTCATTGAAGACCTCTACCGTGGGAGTGGATTCAATCATCGCTCGTATGGTCATGTAAGCACTGGCTTGTTCAGTGGCCCCAAGGAATTCCTGGTTTCGGCGCGTCAACCTCCGTAACGGCTCGGCAATAGTCGCAACATGCGCTAACTGTCGAAGATAACAAGAACGCAAACCCGAGAAGTGTTGCATCTGGGTAACGTTGCATGGTTTTGGACAATCGAGAATGGCTCTGATGTTCTGCACATTAGGTTTAATACTCGAGGTAGAAATGACATGTCCAATAAACTCGACCTCCGTTACAGCGAATTGGCGTTTGTTAGTTTTCAGGGGAGATTTAATTCATTCAGTCTATGCAACACATTATGAAGGTTTTCCTGAGGTTCGGTGGGGTTACTACCAAAGACAAAAATATTATCCTTATACACAACACATCCTTTGAGATCTGACAACGATAGAGCAATAAATTTCCGCCAAGCCGCTTGGGCACTACTAAGGCCCATTGGTAGCAGTTTGAGGGAGGAAAGCAGTCAAACGCCGTCAACCTGGAATCAGTGGCATGTGGTAGTATGCACTGCGAATATCCAGCTTTGAGAAAAGCTTGGCGTTTGATAGCTCAACCATCAACTCATGGATAGAGGGTAGAGGGAACTTGTCCACAAGTATATGTCGATTAAGCGCTCGAAGGTCGGTGCATATACGAATAGAGCCATTTTCTTTTGAACGGCAACGAGTGGATGAACCCATTCAGAACACTGTCTGGATTCTTTCAAGTCTTTTGTTTCCATATTT